CAAGACATTTCAAACAACACTGCCTAGGTATTGATTGTACGTATAATGTATTTCGCTAATCCGGGCACACGAATCAATAAGCAGAAAACTATGATTCAAATTAAATTCGGGCATATATGGAATAATTCGTCTTATTATATATGTGTGGTTTGATACAATACAAAACGCCATCTCAAAAACAATGCTGCAAACTCCATTTGACTGATGCGAGCTAATGTCCTTAACCAGCCAGCTCTTTCCAGACCATGATTTATTAGCTGGCCAGTAGCCTATCAAACAGTCCTGCTAGTTTAAATGCCAACGCAGTTATTTCCTTATTTCTGGGGATGCTTATCTCGCAATGGCATAAGAGCTGGGTCTCTCATGCGCAGAACATTGCCTGTATTGTACGGAGTTATTTTTTGTAATTTTTACTATAATATATCATAATATAAAAAATACAATATAATACAAATTATAACACAAATTACATTTGTATTTACTATATTAGGCAATGCTCTGCCCATGCGCCAGAAAACTCCACATGCAAGCAACTATTCGACCACGTGTAAAACAATACCTTCTACGTCTTATTGACCTCTTCGACCGCCTGTACTCATAAGTGTGATTTTCTGCTTCTTCTTCTTCTTCTTGCCGCCTCCGCCTCCGCCTCCGCCTTCGCCAATAGGAGCTGCGGTACTTGCATCGCCAGCCTTGACGCCTTCCATAGCCTCAATTGCCTCAATCTGCATTGCGAGCTCAGCCGTGCCTAAAAAGTCCTCATCTTTGAGCCACCCATCATCCACAGCAGGCATGGTAGGCTGCAAATCGGGAGACACTGGCACCACCCGCGTACCCCAGACAGTCCGTTGTGTTGATGGGCTGGTCGACATGGAAGCCAGGGTCTCAAATCCTGGTCGTGGATCTGGTGGTGTTGTGCCAGATTGGCTGGTCAGTGGCTGGAAGTCAGACATATCCAAAGCGGGAGAATTATCTTCTTCTACAGGTTCCAGTGCTGTGTGCCTGCGAGCAGAGGCTCCGAGCGCGCCACGGAGAGCCGCCGCTTCGAGACGTTCAGACTGCAGCCTCTCGCGCTCTTCTTGAGCAGCCTTCTCCCGATTCCTCTTCCTTCTCTTCTCAATATCACCGGAAAATGACTGCAAGATCTCGGCGGACACAATGTCTGTCCAGTCACACTCCAAGAAGCTTATGATGCAGCCCTGCGGGAGATGTGCCAGATACTTTGTCCGCTTTCGGAGTACCTCGTCCACCACATGCCCTGTAGAGATGTGCTCAACGCGGGGGAGTAATGTTGACGGGAAAGCAGCAAACGACCCATACTTCGCTTTCAAGATCCTAATATCGAGCGGTGACAAATACAAATGCGGCGGAGCGCTGTAGAAATAGAAATCAGCATGTGAAGATGGCTTCGCTGATGACGAGCTTGAACCTGAATGTGAGCCGCTGCTGTTTAATGCTTTCAAAGCATCCGTCCTTTCTTTTGCTGCTTGGACAGCTTTGATGGCCTTCTGAGTCCACTCTGAGTCCGCTCCAAACAGCGTCTCGTCTTCCTTTTCCTGTTTCATTAAAGCCTTTGTCTCCTCTTCATATTGGGTGGCCATGTACTCTGCAGTACCCTTCATGATTCTTGAATAGTCCAAGACATTTGCCGCAAAGTGCCACGGCACATCATCTCCCGAGTTGAGAAGATCAGCACCACCCTCTCGTGGCAGAGCCAAGGTAGAGCTTGCTTTTCTTGCCATGAGTCGTAGGACGACATCATCTCCCACTCGAGGCAATGGACATTCCTGTCCAGCATAGAACCGAACAGCTTTAACTTCGTGGAGATAAATTATGTCCTCGCAGATGGGGCACTTCTTCCAACGAGCCCCTTTACCCGATTTAGCATCATCGCTGTTTGAGTGCATAAATCGAATCAAGCAAGGGAGGCAAAAGATGTGCCCACACTTGGCCATACGCGGAGCAACGGGCTCCGAGAGGCAAATTGGGCAAGAAGCTGTTTGTGATTCCGAGGAGGCAATAATCTGCAAAACATCCGCCCAGTCCAAAAAGACGTCGGCATCGACCTCGTGCTTTGTGTAGGTCCCTTCCGGAGAGACCACAAAGCGGTAATTGGAATGCACATATCTGGATTTATCAGCAGCGTGGCGACCGGATCCAGGGCCCCAGCTGGGATTTCTGCGATACGACCTCGGATGGTAGCTGTGGTCTTGGAAGTGTCGGGGAGTCGTGTAGTTTAGGAGATGGGTGATTGATGTCTGGCCTCTCCTGCTCGATGGGTTCCGGACAGCTCGGATCTCGGCCATGGCGTCATACTCATCAGGGTTGCCGTGAAGTCTTTGGTCTGCACTGGGTCTGCGTTGATTCTTGTGTTGCTTCCGAGAGGCCTGCCCCTTTCTGGGCATAGGCTGTGCAGAAGAAGAGCCCGGTTGGCTTGGACGGCGAGTCGATTCGAAGCTTGAAGTTGTCGGACCAGCTTGTGGCTGGGAGGGATAATTCGCGGCCGTAGAAGGGGTCTTGCCCGCGACAGCGTTCAAAAGACTCATGGCCGGCCTGTGCAAGGCAGGCAAATTTCTTCCAAGAACAAATGCGGGAGGTCGAAGATGAGCCAGGATACTCGCAAGAGTGGATGAAATTGAGGGTTCAATCCTTGATTCCGAGGGCAATGGTCAACATGCCCATCCCGACGCGACTTCGCGTCTCGACGGTGCAGCTCTCTTCGCTGGGAAAGCCGCGATCCACGCTGATCTGCGGCCGCGGGTGGTATCGACCTGCTCTCTAGCCGCCACTTATAAAATAATAAGCAGATAAAAAGGACTTGTAGGTTGGATACGATGGGAGCAGAGTGATGACTCTCTCGGAGGGGTCCAACCTGGACGGACCCCGGCAGTGGTGGTGGAGCAGTCAAGCCAGTAGAGTCAGTGGGGCGAGCCGTGACGAAGCTGATACTGCTGGCCGGGAGATCTGGGAAGAGCAGCAAGTGGTTAGTCAGTCATTGCTATACACGTGACTATTCATATGACTTTAGATTCCACGACGCCTCGTGCTGCTGTTGTTTATAGGGTAAGCTGCCTCTTACTACGAAGCCGTGATGGCGTGCATTTAGACCGTCCCTTTACGGTGGTCGACTGAAAGATCTTGACAATAAACATATCAATTTCCCGCCATCTCCTCTGTACCATTATGAGACTAGACCACGATAGCTCAGATGTGTGGTCATACCAAGCTCCTGCAGTAATATAACCTACAACTCATCTCGTGAACCCCAAAACAACGACAAAAACGACTTCCAAAGCCGGCCCTTGCCGCTCTGCGCCCTCTTCTCATCAAAGATGGCCTTCATAATCGGCACCAAATCCAGCGAGCCCAGCTTTCGCTCTGAGCGCTTCCACCCCAACTCATCTGGCAACCTCTCCTCCGTCAGCCACACCCTCACACGCTCCTTTGGCGCCGTCCAAATCTTGGCCGAGGGAAAACTAAACGCAGACGGCACTTCGCCCTCCTTCATCACTAAAAGCACCAGACTAGACTCCATGTAAGCCAACAGATGGTCCCAGCTCGACAGTCTCTCAGGCTCCGATAACGCTTCCACACGGAGGCGACTCTTGGCTATGGACGCTGCGTCCACGTAGTCAGTCGGACTGTCTTCCAGCAGGGCGTTCACCCGTGCAACATCGACATCGATATTCCTCTCCGTGGGCGTCATGTCGTCGCGAGTCAAGGAGCCCCTGTGCTGCAGGATCCCCGGCGTGTTGAGGTCCTCGAGGTCAAAGAAGTCCTTGCCCCAGCTCTTGACGAACACGCGCGCGGGCAGGGTGCCGTACGAGGGGGCGGCGTTGAGAGCTTCAACGACGGCATCGCCAAAGTGTTTAACCGAGAGGTTTCTGCCGTTGTGTGGTCTGTATCGGTCAGCCTTCGTTAGACGCAGCTCTGACGGACGGGCTGCGCGGTTGAGACGTACAGGTATCCGTGATTTGCGAGAGTGTTCAGCATGGGGCAGGGGCTGCGAGAATCACCCGGGCCTGCGGCTTTCCATGGTCGCACTGCGCCGGCCGCTGATGCAGCCAGAAAAATGGCAGTAAATGTGTGCAGCATCGTGAGACGCAGCCTGTGTTGGCAAATCGACAAATGTTGAGTTGGGCCTTCTCTTATTAGCAGCAGCGAAGCCACGAAGTTTGCAGTCCGCTTTAGCTCCTGGTTTGACCAAAGCAAAATGTATCAACAAGCCGATGATGGCCAAAAATGACAGCGTCGCCTCGTGGTCCGTTCACGTGTGCGCCCGTCATCAAACGTGCTAAATAACGTTGTCCCGAGAAAAACGCATTGGCGAGAACAGCTCCCGTGACTTATGCTTATGCGGGCTTACTTTCCCGTGCTGCAATTGGTGGCTTCAGTTGGCGCTCGCAACGCATCGATACTACGAGGAGTTTGACCAGGTTGTAATTGGATGATTTCGTGTATTGAGTTTTACTAACTGCTACTGAATTTGGCCATGGCTGAACGTGTGGCATCAGGCAGCATAGAATTGTCGGGTGATAGTAGCATGGTGGAATAAACTTGGAGAAAAGCTAGTCACATTACCAGCCGGTTGTTTAGGCAAAGATACATTATGTACGATTTGATTTATTGATATTGTCTCGACGTATCCCCAGCCCCAGTCATGATCTCGCATGTTGAGTCAGTCTCATGAAACTTCCAACAAGCTGATTGTACATGGATTCCAATTGCAATTGCAATGCTGAAATAAACACATGAAATGAGCGGCATCGAAAATGATCGTGAATTAGGTATACGACGCTGCACCCTTAGGCGTCGGGCGTCAGGTCAAGTCCCTGACCACTTTTCTCTTATTCGCAGAAATCTGAGGGGGAATCATTGACAACTGGTACAAAGCATCCTCAACAAGCAAAAAACCACACTACATATATCACCGTAACAAAAAACCCTTCCCAACCCTCATTATCTTGCTGTATTTCCCCAACCCGCACGGAAAACTATTTTTATTTCAACTTGGCCTTGAGCTTGCTGAACATGACACTCAAGCGGCTCTTCTTCTTGTCATGGGCAGCACCGCCTTCAGCGGCAGGCTTGCTCTCAGTGCCGTTGCCATTGGTCGCGGGCGTTGCTGATGTCGCGGCAGGAGGCTCAGAAGCCTTGGTTTCGGCGCCCGTAGCTCCATTCGCAGCAGCGACAGTAGTTGGGGCCTGAGTGCTTGCTGCTGCAGGCGTGGCGACTGTAGGCTTTGTCTCGGGGGCTTTTGTTTCAGCGGGCTTGACGGCGTCATCAAGAGCAGGTGCCTTCTTCACTTCATCAACAGCAGGTGCCTTCCTCACTTCCTTAAGCAGCTCGCTCTCGACCTCCCTCTTCTCCTCGACCGCAGAGGTGCTTGCAGCAGCCTCAGGGCTCTTACCAGCCTCAGCAATAGACTCCTTGACCTCCTTGGGAACTTCAGGTGAAATCTTCTCCAGAGGACTGTCCTTCTTGTCACTAGCAAGAGCGGCCTGAGCTGACTCGGGTAGCTTGTCTTTTACAGTGGCAGGAAGGTTCTTGTTGATTGTATCGACAGTCGCCTTCTTGGCGTCGTTCACAGCAGGAGTAGCATCTTCAGAAAACTTGTTAACTGCCGCAACAGCAGCCGCAACAGCAGCGCCACCAGTAGCTGTGGCAGCACCAAGGATAGCGCCAGAGTTCTCCTTCTTCTCAGTTCCAATGCCAGAAGTGCCGACAGAGGTAGCAGGAGCCTCGGGAACCTTTGTCTTGATTTCTTCCTCGACCTTGGCCTTTTCTCTGACTTCCTCAGCTACACCAGATGCTTCGGGTGCGACGCCGGCTTTCTCCTGGCTCTCCTTAACAACCTCGGGGACCTTGGGCTCCAGGGGAACCTGACCGGCGAGGGCGACAGTCGTGGCACCGGGGCCAACCGAGTTAATGGTAGCGTTGGTGACGTCAGGCTCCAGGGGAACCTGACCGGCGAGGGCGACAGTCGTGGCACCGGGGCCAACCGAGTTAATGGTAGCGTTGGTGACGTCAGGCTCCAGGGGAACCTGACCGGCGAGGGCGACAGTCGTGGCACCGGGGCCAACCGAGTTAATGGTAGCGTTGGTGACGTCGGCTTGATCGCCCATAGGGAGGCTGGATTCGGGGATCATAGTGCCAGACTTGGGAGGGACCTCGGTGGTGCTGAAAGGAGGGCCGCCGGGAAGGGCGTCGCTCCGCTCGTAGGACTCCTTGTCTAGCTTGACATGCTCATTGATATTCTGAGCGGCAATTGCCTCTGGGATCTTCTCACCGGGGGCAAGCTTAATAGGGTTGCTAGTGCCAGGAACTGTAGCTGGTAGAGGATTGATGCTGACAGTCTTATCCTCCAGGTCGGCAGCCTCATTGGAGGGCGTCACAGGGAAGCCTCCGGGGACGTCAGATGGGGTCGCAGTAGCTTCTGCTGCGGCAGGAGCAGCCTCGGCGACGTTGGTCTCGGGCTTGGGCTCAGAGGCGGGGGCGCTGGCTACGGCAGTAGCAGCAGCAGCAGCAGCAGCAGGCTGCTTACTGGCGGCGGCGGCCTTCTTCTTGTTGTTGTTCTTCTTGGCCATTTCGGCAACGGTGGTGGATTCGGGGGTGACGGTGTTGATAAAGGGAGCTGCAGCGAGTGCAGGCACCTGCGCAGATTCAGAGTTGGAGAGGTCGTCCGGGGTCAGAAAGTTATTGACGTTGCCCTCGTGGTCGGCTTCGTGCGGGTAGGACTCGTTGATGGTCCAATTGTTATCGACGACGAACTAAATAGTGAAGAAAGGAGGGAGCGGATAGAGTTAGCCAAAGACTTTGACCTGCAGATGATAGTTTGCGCGCCAATTGATCAAGAACAGATGACAGGTCTGGAAGTAAAATGTGTGAATGACAGGTGGACACAGCGCACGGGGCGGGCGTGACGTGAGATATATGCAGGCGGGGAGGCTGGCGCAAGTCAGAAGTGCGCAAGTGCGCAAGTGAACCAAGGGGCTGAGCTCGTACTGGCTGGCGTGTGCGTCCGGTGGGTCCGGTGTCGTGTGCGGAGGGCTTTTGCACCTTGTTGCGACCTTGGAGCAGGGCTCAATAGCTTTTTGGGCCACGCTGGTCGCTTTGGACAGGGTTGGACATCAGTGGCCTGTGGACAGCTGGCCGGAGCGATTCAATCCAGCATGCAAGTGTTCGGCAAGTCGTCAGACTAGATGAGTCAGGGGCTGACAGTGTGGTAGCCAGCCTTACCCCGTGCTGTGCCGTGATTTTTTCAGTCGCCTCGCTCAGTTTGTTTGCTCAGTTGCAATTGCGCAATCTTCGACTTTGCAAACAATGCGTGCCCCGTTGCCTGTTGGTCGCAACTGACCCGGCCCTGCCGCCTTGTCACTAGCCAATACGGCCGGTCAGCCGGCGCAACCCCATCGACGGAACCAGCCAAACGACGACAGAGTCTCGAGATGACTCGGCGACGATTTGAGACGCTACCGGTCGTGGTACTCCGTATTACCACGTTGGATGCCAATCAGCACGAGTGCTTACATGTAGCCTTCCCACCCAGTCGACATGGTCTTGGATCGGTACGGAGTAAGGCAACATCGTTTTGGCTGTCTTGGGCCGTGTGGCCGCATCCAGGGCTCGATTATCCGTTTCTTGTAGTATTGTCCTCGATGGGTGCGGTCGCACGGCCAACGCATCGCCTCACTCTTAGGTCGTCTCTTTTCGAAGCCTGCATCTGACAGAACCTCAAGGAAATTGAATGCGCCCAATAGTAGTGCCATAGATGTGCAGCAGTCTATGACCAGGGTCATAATTTCGCCCGAGAGCTGAAAGCACTTCGCGCCTTCGTTCCCAATCTTGACCCGTTCGGTCAACCCCTGCAGTCTGGAGTGAAAATGGGGCGCCAGCCATTGTCGCAGTGTTGCGCTCCGTACTAATAATAGGATTGTTTGTTCCCTTTTTCCTTTTTCAAGAAAAAGGAAAAGGAAGCAATTTCAATGAACAATGGTGTGTTTCCCAAATTTGCTGCTCTCCATGTGCAACAGGGGGTGGGTGGCGAAGGCCGCAGATGTTGTCGCATTTGCAATTGGCCATCGAAATTCTCCGTAGGTTCGGCAGGGTTGGTGGTTCCTCTTGTAAATCGTCTGTTTGTCGCCCAATGCTTCCGGTCCAGCCCTGATGGGACGAGGCTTGACCGCATTTCGGAATGACAAGGGAAGGAGAAGCAAAAGCAAGACGACAAACGAGGTCGCATCAACTCACCTTGTAGTATATCTTGCTCGAAGCATCTTTCTCCGCGAAAGTGACCGTCTTATGGAAGCTGGTCCCTTGCTTTTCGAGCTTCACCGATTTGGTCCATCCATCAAACGAACCGGTAACGAGGACGTCGGATACATCGCCAGTGGGATTTTCCCTGTATTGCGCGAGATTGTCTAGTTAGCCGCGTGATCATGTCGAATGACAAAATACTACAAGTTGTTGGAACAACGAATAGCTGGTGACTCATGGTCTTGCAGCCACCAGTCCAGCGTGGGCGGCGAAGCAATCGAGGCAGGCGCGTCCAACAAAGGCGGGGGAGGAAGGAGCTTCGCAGTCGTGATCGCACTTACCACTTGAAGGTATAGCTGCCCATGACGATTAAATTCAAGAGGAAGAACAAGGATTTCTTTCAACAAATGATGAATTTACGACCAACGCCGAGCACACAACGAGCAGAAAAAGCAGTCGGACAATTTATTTCGCCTTTTGTTGGGAGGGTGTCACCTTTTAGCCAAGGTGTGTGCTATCTACGGCCGAACCAGTGGCAACCGAGGTGGCTGGAGTCAAGCGGTCTGCAAGCTATGCTCAACTATGTCTTTGTTGCGTGATTCCCTCATGATCCTTGACCATACATCCCCGGTTCTAATAAGACACAGAGCACTAACGCATGTACATATTGATCGCTAAGCAAAATGAAATGAGGAAATGGATGCGGCAGTTGGTTGGAAATTCTTGCACCGATGGCCACCTTCAACATGATGCGACGTGCATTTGCAGCTCTCACAAGACACACAGGAGAGATTCGAGAGCATTGGCAAGGAGGGGCTGACGGGGGCCGATGAGGTCATCACAGGGACATGCAGGAAGCTCAGGCAGCTCTGATCCAGCCCAAAAGGAAACTGAAGGTTGGGTTGGACAGCTCTTTCTTGCCACCCGCGGCGCTACCTACCACCGAAAGATGCCCGCAAGCCACAAAGATGATAGGATAGGAGGCTGACGGGAGCTCAAGGCGCTGAAAATCCTGTGTTTGATAAGGCCGTGGACATTCACATTGGTCCGCCTGGCGTCGAAAGGTCCACAAGCCCGGGGGTTCCATCGAAAAACGGTCAACCGGATGGGGCGATGACGATACAAGAAAAAAAAAAGAGTCCATCTGGATTCTGTTGGATACGCCGTGATCATGGTGTGTCTACACACGGCCTTCAGGTGAAGGAAACCTCCCCTCCCCACGCCGGAACTCTGTCTCTTCTCATAAGTCACGGTGGACGCAGGGCTCAGCTCTGCAGAGCTTGCTTGAGCTTCTGAGACAGCTACCGCAGGCTGTCAAGTACCTAGGCACCTCGCAGGAAGTGGATTGCCCTGGTGGAGGCGAGATGTTCCAAGTTTTCCACATGCTTCAGCGAGCGTTGGAACGAGGCGTGTCTTGTCGGACTTGAGTTCCGCCGCGAGCGCTAGGCCTAGCACGGTTGCTGCCGTAAGCCCACAGCATCTGCTTTCGGCATTTATGGAGGCTTTTATTACTTGTGCTGGGCATTGAGGATCGAGGGGCAATATCTGCTTTATGTAAGCGTACGACTCAGGATGCACATCAGTTGGCGTCTTTCGACTTACCCTGATGACCAGCCCAAGCGTCATCTAGACTACACACATACATGGCTGTGGACCCTAAGCAGAAGATGGCAACGTCCTCGTTTTTGTGCTGCTTCTTATGAAATGAAACATGAGCTTAAGGCTGAAGATGAGGAGCTTGATCTCTGTCACTGTCTGAAGTCGAATGTAGGTCTGGTAACCTCGTGTTTTCTCCAGCTATGTCATGCACTCGATAAGAGACAGTAGATTTGAAACTAACGGAACGGGCATGCTTCAAGCTAAATGCGTTGTCGTCTTAGGCTAAGATTTTGCCGTTCTTGGCCTTTGCAGACTTCGTTCTATCGAACCACTTCTGTTGAATCTTGTTACTATTCTCATACGATCAAGTTCGCCCAGCATTTAACATGACAAACCACACAAATCGAATCTCCCACGACCATGTTCCGCGAGTCATCGATTCATCAACCGGCCCCGTAAAAGCTGAAACGTCGCAGACCAAGACCAGGAGTGGGCTGCGTTTATTAGAAACGCCAAACTACAAACAGGTGGGGGTCATTAATCAACGGCATATTCCTTTGCTTACCCTGACTTGTCTGTTACTTGTCAGAAACTTCCGATTCAGCGACCTGCCGCATTCAAAGTCAGCTGTCCAACCTTGGCAGTGAACAATGTGGACAAAATTCATTTCCGCAGATGGAAGAGGCATGCTGGCGTGTCCCAAGGGAGAGTGTGTTATGAAAGCAATGGCTTGACTTAGCAGGTGTAGCCTGGGCTGACGTATGGCGTTGCGATTTATCCAAAGGCTAGGGCTTTTCAGGCTGCAAGATGGACGGTATGCATATCTGACAGTTATGGAAGTTGCTCAACTAATTATTTACGTACAGTACACAAGACAAGAAGGGATGTGCTTCATCGCCTTGGGGGGTTCTGTCCCATGATACAACCTATTGATGCTTAAGTCTTTGGCGACGATTGTATGCAGCCTGCCCAGTTTGACTGTTTCTAAGAGCGCCGGGCAAGGAGCGCCGCTTGGCTGGGCGTGCGTCAATAGCAACATCCCAAGAGCAGCTTCCTCGTTTGGAAAGTGCAATCGTCAGGACTACTACGTAAAAACAACGACCCAGCTTTTGGTTTGTATGGTGAGGCTCATGCCACATAACCGCATCTCCTTAGTCGCCTGCCGTAGTTGGCTACTCTAAAGACATGGATTGCACAATTACCGTGGCTATGGGTTCGTTGTCGTCGGCACAGAGCGGCAGATCGTCGTGCCCGTGTCGTTCTTCACCTTGGCGGTCTCGCCCCGATGGGCCGGATATTGCTCACCTTCTTGTCAGGGTGAAGGCATCCGTCAAGGTTACATATACTAAAGAAAGAATCCCATTCACCGATTAGGCAGTAGCGACCGCACGATGGCACTGGCCGGGCCTAGGAATTATCGGTTGGTGAAGTGACTTTGATAGGGTTGGTCATGATACAAGTCTCGCAGTTTATGGCCTTATAGCCGGTATCACGTACTCCACGGCGCTCGGTTTACTAACGGGATATTCTCTAGTCGGGAACTTTTTCTTGTTTTGATCATGGGGGTAAGCATCCTCAACGTTGAAGAGGGAGCCTACGTTGCACACCTTCCTAACTCTGCTTGGATGGCCCATTGAGGTTTATATGATGTATTGACGGTTGTAGATGTGAGCGTAGACAATGGCGAGTATATAAAGGACTCGAGTTTCTCATCATGATGGATTTGTAGGATCAAGCCAGCCCATCTTCATCCCGCCCATCCTAGTTCGTTCTCTTTGTCCAGCACGATCTGCCGAGCAGCTCAGTATATCACCTCACAATGCATCCTACACTGTCACTCCTTTTTTCCATTCTGCCCCTGACGTTGGCCAGCCCAACTCGCAAGCGGTCCGAGCCGGCACCGCTGATTATTCCTCGTGGCGAGGCCTTCACCCTCGTTCCCGATGAGTACATTGTCAAGCTCAAGAAGGGCTGCGCCAAGGCTGCGCTGGACGATGCCATGAAGATCATGCCCGGGGACGCTGACCAGGTGTTTGACTCCATCTTCAAGGGCTTCACTGGCAGGCTGGACTCCTCTTCGCTCGATGCCCTGCGTGATAACCCCGATGTAGGACGGCCGAGGACTCGGAGTTGCATCAAGACTAGGTGCTGACTTCCACAATACAGGTCGACTACGTTGAGCAGAACGCCTACTACGAAGCATACGGCGTGACTACCCAGCAACAGGCCCCCTGGGGTCTTGCTCGACTCTCCCACAGACGCCCCGGCGCAAGCGACTACATCTACGACGAGAGCGCCGGCGAGGGAACATGCGCCTACGTCGTCGACAGCGGTCTCTACGCCGCACATCCCGTAAGCACCCCCGTCACCACCCCCCAGGGAACCCGTCTAACAGCGCCGGCTGGCAGGAGTTTGAGGGCCGCGCCCATTTCCTCGGGACCTTTGTCGGCGACCAAAACGACAACTGCCTCCACGGCACGCACGTGGCGGGCACCATCGGCGGGCGGCAGGTCGGCGTGGCCAAGAAGACCACCATCTACGGCATCAAGGTGCTCGACATGAACCGGGAGCAAAAGTGCGGCGCCGACACGTCCGTCATCATCGCGGGCATCGAGCACGTCGCCCGGGACGCCGCGGAGCGCCACTGCCCCAACGGCGTCGTCGTCAACCTCAGCCTGGGAGGGGGCTGGTCGCAGGCCATGAACGAGGCCGCCGCGGCCCTGGTCCGCCGGGGCTTCTTCGTGGCCGTCGCCGCGGGCAACGGCGACCAGAACCACAACCCCATGGACGCGGCCTCCGTCTCCCCGGCCTCGGAGCCCTCCGTCTGCACCGTCGGCTCCGTCGACAGCCGCGACCGGCCCGCCCGCGACTCCAACTACGGCGACGTCGTCGACGTCCAGGCCCCCGGCGTCGAGGTCGTGTCCGCCCGCGCCGGCGGCGGCTACATCACCATGTCGGGCACCTCCATGGCCGCCCCCCACGTTGCCGGCCTGGGTGCGTACTTGCTGGGCCTGCGCAAGGCCTCGGCTTCCAACCTGTGCAGCTACCTCCAGGAGAGTGCTTTGCAAAACTCCATTTCGGGCTTGCACTGGGGCACCAGGAACTTGCTTGTCCAGAACGGCGTTGGTGCTTAAAGGGGCAGGCAGCGATGTAGACGAACTTTTTTTTTTTTAAAAAAAAAAAAGGGGGTGAAATTAGGCTGGACAGGGATGCTGGCATATCTCTTACCGTGTTGTTGCCAAATTCTGGCTGTCTTTTTTTCAATTCTGGCCTTTGATAGACGGGCAGCTTGCAATTTTCTTTGTAACTAACTGATTGTGTTTTGTACATTTGAAATAGAGTCGTACTCACAGCGAAACTTATACTTGAAAGTACACTTTTCCAGGCAAAAGCTAGATCGGTTCTCCACATGACACCCTCTTGAACTACTATCCAATCTGCAATGCGTAGCTTAACGAGACTCCCGGGCTCATAAGAACCACAACTTACTATAAAAACTATTAAAGGCCTTGTATCGTTTCTTTCGATTCGTATCTCAGTCCGCTCGGGCTGCAACCAACAAAGCACAGCTAATCGTCCACCAGGGGCATCAACAGCCTCGTCACAACAGCTCATCCCTGCACAAAGATCAATTCCAACCAGACAGGCATTACAAGGAAAGAGAAGAAAATCCCCGACTGCCCATCTCGCAGATTCCGAATCAAGAACCTGCCATGTCCCATCCGCCGAAATCTGTACGTGAAGCGGAATCAGGGGTCCGGCCCA